ATCATTTTTTCATGGAGTTAGCTGATTATCAATGGTTCTTTATCGTAATTGGACTTCTATTTTCTTCTATTTCGATCCTCTTTTCCAATTTCGCCTCATGCTTGGCCTGATCTTGAAAAGTCTGCAGTTGTACTTACATGTACACAAAAAATAATTTGTTAAAGATCAATCCGATTACTAGTACACATGCAATTACTCTGAAGTTTATATTAAAAGGATGCTGGAATTCCTCAATGAAAATATCATTGCAATCGCTGCAATCATTGGAGACCAAGTCTTTTAACAAACTGAAATTCCGTAGGGACTAATTATGCTCCTTTGCTGACCCGTTTTTATATTCATATAAAGCGGAATTTATTCAAAAACCTCTACACGAGAAAAAGAAAACACCTGCTGTGGCTTAGAACTCGGCATTTAGGTACATCGACGATGTATAATCAATTATACCGATATAGTTGCTTTCATTCATAAATTGAATTGATGTAAACTTGCAATTAATTAAAACAAGAGGCCCATGGGCCTTATAGGTCACCTGAGCATTATGCAACAACTTTTCAGTGACTGAATTTGATTCATGTTTTAAGCCAGATGCTATGGCATTCACAGTTTTTGAAAGAGGCACCATTGATCATTATAACAATACACTTAGCAGTTGCTTAGTTTGGTTACTGAATACCCAAAGGCAGGGTAGGGGAGCAAAAAAAATGCATGTCAACTAATCAGTAGTGCCCCTTTCACACATGAACCCCTGACCCTTAGGCCTAGATCCAAACATTGCACAATTGCATCCTTGCTTTTCAAAAATATTTGATTAATACCAAGGAGCAGATTTCAAAAAATTCATTCATTTTTAGTATATAAGTACCCCCCCCCCCCCGTCTATGGTACCCCTGACCCAGGGGCCTTGAAATTCACAATTCTGGAAGATTAGGACCCTTGCTCATCATAACTATATAGGTATGTTCACCTGCTTAATACCTAGGAGCAGAAAGGAAAATTTTCAAAGAATTCATGTATTTTCACTATAATATCAATAGAGCCCCGCCCTAACAACAGAAACCCGACCCTGGGGCCATAAAATTCACAATTTTGGAAGAGGCATTCTTGTTCATCATTACTATAGTATATACTTAGTTAGTTTATTTAATACCTAGGAGCAGAGAAAACAAAATCAAAGAATCCATGTATTTTCACTATATAATCAATAGAGTCCCGCCCTAACACCAGAACCCCTGACCCCGGGGCCATAAAATTCACAATTTTGATAGAGGCGCTCTTGCTCATCATAACTATGCACTTAGTTTATTCATTTAATACCTAGGAGCAGAGAAGAAGATTTTTAAAGAATTCATGTATTTTCACTATATAATCAATAGAGCCCCGCCCTAACACCAGAACCCCTGACCCTGGGGCCATAAAATTCACAATTTTGATAGGCGCTCTTGCTCATCATAACTATGCACTTAGTTTATTCATCAGAGAAGAAGATTTTTAAAGAATTCATGTATTTTCACTATATATTCATAACTATGCACAATTTTTAGAGGCAGTTTATTCATTTAATACCTAGGAGCAGAGAAGAAGATTTTTAAAGAATTCATGTTTTTTCACTATATAATCAATAGAGCCCCACCCTAACACCAGCCATAAAATTCAAAATTTTGGTAGAGGCACTCTTGCTCATCATAACTATACACTTAGTTTATTCATTTAATACCTAGGAGCAGAGAAGAAGATTTTCAAAGAAAATTTTCACTATATAATTTTGGTAGAGGCAAAATTCTTGCTCATTATAACTATGCACTTAGTTGGTTTATTTAATACCCAGGAGCAGAGAAGAATATTTTCAAAGAAATAATGCATTTTCACTATATACTTATTTAGCCCCGCCCTAGCACTAGAACCCTTGACCCCTGGGCCATGAATTTCACAATTTTGGTAGAGGACTCAATGCTGATTACAATCATGCAAACAGTTTGACTGCTTGATGTCCATGAGTAAAGAAGAAGATTTTCAATTTAATCAATATTTTATTATGTTAGATTACATAATTGAATTGGACATCAGGCAGCCTATATTTTCAAACATTGCACTAATTTTAGTGGTTTTGGCCCCACCCCCAGGCCCCAGGGGGCAGGGATCATGAAATTCACAATTTTTGTTCCCCTTCACCCATAGATGCTTTGTGCCAAATTTGGTTGAAATTAGTTCAGTGGTTGCAGAGAAGAAGCTGAAAATGTTCAAATGTTAACGCACAACGCACAACGCACGACGCACGACGACGGACGAAAACAGATGGCAATAGGTCACCTGAGTTTACTCAGGTGACCTAAAAAACATCACAGAGTCTGCCATATCTGTTTCATATCCAACTATCATGGATGTTTTACAAACTAAAGACGATAAAGAACACCTAAAGCTAACAACTGAGTTGTACGACAAACGAGATAATCCTTTTCCCTCGTCAGTTTTCCTTGTTTACTTTGTTCTTTGTTACCTAGCTAACTTCTTTCATACCAATTGTTAGGCCTTTTAAAATACTGAACTCGACAACTTAATATTTGGTCAACATATCGATACATAGGGCTCACAGCGCATGTTTCTGGTCGACAGGGGATGGTTTTTCCTCCTTGCCACCAGATCCCACCTTTGTATTTCAAGGGGTATGTGTTATGCCCTCTTTGCAATTTTGTAATATAATAGTTTATTCAGAATATAACTTTGAGCAATACAGTCCATCAGTTTACAAAATAACAAATAGTACACGTAACATATATTATAATGACTCTCAATGAGTCTAAACTACGGTGGGGGGTGGTGGTTGTGAAACCTTAGGTCAAGTGTTCCTGTATTGTTTATGGTTAGTTATGGTTAAAAATCGATTATTGTTTTATTACAATCCCCGTTTCACCTCTTATGGTGTTTCTGATGTCATCACTGGTGTTGATTCTAGGTCTATATTTATTACTTCTAGATTGTTTTCGAATTAGCTAGTTGATCGGATTTCGAGCTGTTGTGAATTTCATTAAAGTGTTCCTCCTTTTTTTTTTACACCATTCTTTGATTTTTACAACATTTTTTGATGATTTGAACATTTTTGATGACATCGAACACACCTTTCATTGCCAGCTGTTTCCCCTGTCTCCTCCTCTTCAACATGCCCTCTTGTGCTTTTCTCTAACTCACTTCTTCGCATTGTTATTCTAACCCTTCTTTACTTTTTTCAATTTTACTCAGAATAAAATGTCTTTTATTTTCCTCCGATCTATCGTCTTCCAAGTCTCACTGTTTGGCTTCTAAGACAGTTACAAAGTATTCTCTTTCATCACATGCAATTTTCAAGGTTATCCACTGACCTTCGTTGTTACTGTCTGTTGTTTTATTCTTCAGAGATGCTAAAATTGTTTCTTAATCGAGTTTCTCCACCTATAAAGTCTTTTGATTTCAAATTATTTAACTAGCTTTGTACATATTGTATATAGTGCACTTTTATGACTGTGTAATTTAACATGGCCATAATGACTACTACACTATACTTACTTTTTAAAGTCAACATCTCGAAATTACTTATTAGTCACTGTTAATTTTAAAGGAATCAGATGTCAATGAGGAATACTTTATATTCAAGTAAAGGTAGACTGAAGGTATTATGGTAGTTCCCAGTCATATTCAGTAAACCTCAACAACAACAACAACAACAAAGTCCTAACAATTGGTTTGAATCAAATCAGCCAAACGACGCCACAATGATTGGCCGTGTTTGCTAACAAGATCTTTTTGATGACCATAGAATTTACGAATTGCCGACTTTAAAAGAGATTGTTGAAATCCCTGTAACTTCAACTTTTATGTAGAGAGGGGAATAGTTGGCTTCTTTTGTTTTTTTTTTAATTTTTACACTCCATCCACTATAATCTATTTACGAGAAAATAAGCTGACAAAATTGCAAAATATTAAAAGTGACATATTGCAAACAAAAAACTGTGTAAGCCAATAGAGAACATTTATTGAATTATATTGAATATAAATATTGACAGTATAATTAACAGCATGTCCATGTAAACGGAAACATTACGATCTATTGTTTAGGTAGGTCTAGGTGTATATGCCTACTATACTTGTAAAATTGCTTGACATATTCCGTTTAGTTTTATGACGTCCGACAACGTCATTGTTTTTCAATGTCCGCTTCTTCTACCCCATACACTTATTTTGATGAGATTCGCTGGAGCTGAGTAAGGACTTCAACCCGTCTTGTTTATATGATTTTACAAAGTCATGAACAGCGGCTTTCAATCCATATAATATTTCAAATGGATTTATATATTGGGAGAGATCCTCGCTTGATTGTGCCAGCATATTTTGCTTTTTGGAGTTTAATATCTACAACACATGATCAACGTAATTTTTTGACGTGATTGATTTTTCACACCTTGACTACAAATCAATATTAACCGTGCATCCCTCTTCTCTCTGAATCTATTTTTGCATTAAAACAAGTACTCTGGGTGTATATTTTTTTCTCCGTAGCCAGTTTAAACAATTTTAAGTCTATACTGGTTCTATACATTTTCAAAATGCTGGTTACGTTCTCCGTAGGCTAAATGTCAATACACAAAGTCTGTGTGACGTTTATATTGTTCTATTGAAAATTGCTGTTATGTAAGATATCGATCAATTTATAGTACTGATATTAATTGATCCCTCCCATTTATCCACTTAGACACCTTTCATTCAATATCTTCTCAATTAGAATTATTGACAGTAATTTGTATTCTCTTTGGTGTTATTATGGTCTAGTGTCCCGAAAGGTCCATGTTTACAGATCTATGAAAATAAAGCGGTTACTGAAAGGGCGCAGAAATTGGGAAATCTGATGCATTAGATTACCTTATTTCTGAATACAGAAAAGGTGTAAATTTATTTGATTGCTTTCAGTCTTTCCGTCCCAATTCTTCTATGAGAGCTTGGAACCGAAAGTTAGGCATAAACTCAAAAAAAAAATGAAGACGCTGATGCGAATATTTCCTAATTTCCTTCTCAGCTCAATGTTACATGCCTTTTCGGAATATATGATAGCTAATGTAAAGCTGGATAACTTTCGGTTTGACGATGAACTTCTTCAGACAATTGTTCAGAACGATGTTGCAGATTGTTCCCTGCAGTGTCTAGAAACAAATGATTGTCTGTCTGTACAGTACCGGAAGACCACTGGAGACTGTCGACTTTATAACACAGTGTTTTTGTCCACAGACGGTGGGATTGCTGAACAGAATTGGAGATATTTCCAGAAAACTGGAGGTACGTGTTATTATCATTTCTGTATGAATTTGAACATGAGCCTACAGGGCCAAAAAACTAAGACCAGCTAACTTTTGATCCCAGTCTCACTTTTACAACAGGGGTAAATAGTGGATAAGTGAGACTAAGATCAAAAGTGAGCTTGTAATAGTTTTATGACCCTGGAATTTTGACAATTTGGTTTGTGTTAACTTTTCCATGGAATAAAAAAAAAATCTAAAAAAATACTGTCTCTTCCTTTGGCAGTAGTGTTGCAAAAATGCCTTTTTCCATGGAATGAAAAAAAATTAATAAAAAAACAGTTTACTTTTGCATGTTTAAAGGCAGTAGAATGGTATGCAAAAATGACTTTTCTAACATCAATCGAATGAAAATTTCAAATTAATATCTTCTGCGAAAAACAGTTTACTTTTGCATGATTAAAGACATATCAACACAATGCTATAGCAAAAGTTCGATTTTGCGTTTCTTCTCATTGACGAAAATAAAAAAGTAAAAGTATTATCTTATGTATATTTAGCTAAAAATAAATAAAATAATCAATAAAAAGGGTGTTTGGCAGCAAACTTTTTATGTTTATATACTAATATTCTTGCCTTTTAGGGACACGGCTGAAAAAAAATCAATATGTCAAAAACTTTTTTCGCCCTTGATGTTTTTTGTTTGTTTAATTGTCTACCATGTTAAACATATTAAAGTAAGATTGATATTCTCAGAAAGTGACCCTACTATTAAGTCCTCTTTAATGGTTCGAGAAATGCTGTGGCATAATACAAAATTTATGTAATATTAATTTTAAAGTACATGTATAAAGCTCTGTTTGAACATATTTTATTGACAATACATGTAAGTGATTGGACACAAGTTCCAAAAACTTAGATAGCCCTCTCTCAAACATAAAATCTGAATAGCCACACATTTACAATTAAAGTTTTACAATACATGTACATAAAAGAACAAAAAAATTATGAATAAGGAAATAATATCAATTAATAATAATGGTGATAATAAATACGGTGCTTATATTATTGAACATATAATAATTTCTATGGAGATAATACAAATGAGTGTTCGTTAACGACCCGTATCCTGAATAAATATTTTAACAAAAGCAAATGGTTTTTTTTATTTTCTGCAAAGATAAGGAATCATTTACCCATAGCAATTTATGCACATTAATCATTTTTACATTTGTGAATAACAAGTAAGTTAATGTATTCATGATTAAACGTCTAGGTTCAAAATATAGTCTACACAGAAAGAAAAATGACGAATATTCTCTTTCATTCCACAATTGCAAGGACAATTTTGATTTGATATATATTACATAGTGCGCCTTAATTTAGTATGTATAATGTTCATATATATTGTGCCATTTGAAAAATACTTTAAAGTTTTTTTTTCAGTTCTCCCATCATTTTCGTCATTTTGTTCATTTCTTCTTCATAAGTTCTCTAAATAGCTCTATAGTGCTCATGAATTTGGTCGAGAAATTTATGTCATAACTCCTTTGACACATTGTCCAATGCCTTTTTATGTTCTTCATGTTGTCTCTCCTTGATAGAGTCCACAAGCTAAGTGTAGGTATTATTCTATTTTCTTTTAAAAATTCCTATTGAAGTTATATCTCTTGTTTCGTTGCGCAGTGAATTCCATTTGCGAATAGTTCATGTATCGTGAACATATGATTTACTGAAATAAATCAAGCCAAAATTTTGGTAAGGAATAATTAGATGAATTTCGAGTATTGTAATTTGAAAAAGTGTTTATACCTCTATTTAAACTTAAATGAAATACTGTAAACCAACTTTTATTCGCGTGCGAGAAATTTTCGCGAAGTTCGCGACATCCTCGTCATCGCTAATATTTCTCGCCGTGAACCGGTACTAAAAGTCTCTCTGTCTATTTATAACAGATCCAAAAAGGCTTGATTGCGAAAATTAGTCGTCGCTAACTAGTTTATCCCTGGTAAATCGCGAAATAAAGTCGTCGCGAATAATAGTTGGTTTACAGTAATCAGCTGTGAAATATTATAAGGACACAATATCATGGGCAGGACATGCTAACTTCTAAACCGTTGAAGACAGCGAGTCTCTTTAAAGGCAATGGTATTTATGATCAACGCCACAAAAGCTTTGTAAAAACTTTAACCATAGTAAACTTTGTCAAAATTAGGATTATAAACCACTCTAAACTTGCAACTTTCATCAAAACTATCTTTTTATTAGGTTCATACAAAATAAGGAAGATTAAAAAAGTTAAAGAGCTATATTTTGTCAATGTTTTACCTGTTTTAAAGTAAAAAACAGTTATTATAAGAAAAAGCTGACAGAAATTAGCATCCTTAACATGAAATAAGCAAATTATAAGCGAAGTAAACAACAAATTTCAGGATATTGTCCTTCCTATTTTACCCGCTATGGAAGAAATGGACTTTGTTTTCACTATGCTGGAGAATTAGCAAAGGATGCCGGGATAGCATATTGTTCAAAAATGGAATCAGGTCTTATTCCTGTTACATCAGCGAGGGTCGAGGCATTCATCGAATCGCTGCTGGGTACGTTGCTGATTTCACACAATTTCTAATAGACCAAATCATCAGTTGTACTGTTAACCTTAAATTCATTGTAAAATAATCTGCCTGACGCTATAAAAAATTATCCATATTGCTATTTGAAATGTCTCTTTAGGCACTAGTATTTTAATAGAACTATTTTTTATTGAATAATTTATGACGTAGATTGTATAATTTGTAGATAAGATAGCTTAAAGATATAATTTGTAGATTGTTTTTAGAATAGAATAGTTGAAGATTAGATTATTTTCAGATTCGATTTCAGATTAGACTATTTTTAGATTAGATTATATTTAGATTTAGATAAACATCTACAGCTGCAAAACTTTACGTTATTTAGAACATACGTTTTATTGAGTTTCCTTGTTTTACATCCTTTCGAGACACCCCCCCCCCCCCATTTCCATGTACACCATCCCTCTCTTATGAAAGTCATCACACGGCGTTGAAGGGCGAATTTTAGATCATTTTGTCCATCAACCATTGCGACACATTTACTACCATTCATCATCGTGTAAGTAAAGTAAATACATCAATCCAAAAAATAAACAAAACCCAAATAGTTTTATATTTAAAACCATTTTACAGAGAGGACAACCGTTATCAACGAAAAGTCGGCATATATTCAAGGAAGATGGAACACGACGCATTGGACTGACAACCAAGGGAGAGAACTACAGTATACGAAATGGAAAGCAGGCCTGGGTGTACCCCCTGCAGGAAAAGAGAACATTAAAATTATACGAACTCAAGGGGGGTATTTCTGGACATATGCTAGTAGTGGAAGAAATGCTAGAAGTTTGTTTTGTGGATTAATCATTGATTAGAATATGGAATGAATTCGTGGAACAAGTTTTTAAAAGGCTTATTATTCTTTGAATAAAAAAGGGATAGCACTGTTATTTTAATTTAAAGAGTAGCCCTTTGCTACCAAGAGCTGTTTAGTTTTACAATTTAAAATGTCTTTAAAATTATATTGTCAACCTTTGCTCGTGATAATATTACAGTGTGACCGGCCAGCAAGGGGTGCTCATTCCTCCATAGCACCTGATCCAACCTCTGATGTTTTGGAGGTCCGTGTTTGCTCTGCTCCAATTTTCTATTTTTTATTATTATGCTTCCTGTCAGTTTGTCTCTATATAACCCATACCCTACTATTCTCGCATAGTGGTCTCAGGATTTGTATAGCGTAAACATATTATGCCGAAATAGTGCACGGCTATATTTACTGAATAAAATTCTTCCATGCACATGCCGGGGATCGAACTTACGATCATGAGATTGTCAGTCCGATGCCTTATCGATTACGCCATAGAGACGATCACTTATTGGTGTAATTTATTAAATATATAATCTTAATTTATACAATTGACACAAGAAGGAGAAAATAGACAAATATTATTTGAAAACAGTTATATTATTCTAAGGAACTTTAGATTAATGTGTACAACAAACTTTCAAACTAATTACATACAGATCGTTAGATGAACTGATTTTATAGGGTCATTAAAACGCTTTTTTATATGACGCTTGATTGAAGGATGTAAAAGAAAATTATCAATGAGAATCGACGTCTGCAAACAAATAAGGCTTACGAACAAAACAGAAAATAAAGATGTGTTGCTTTGGGACAGAAAATCCCAACTTATTTAGAGAAAATACTAGTAACCAAAATAACTAAGCATGCAAACAATTTTAGCATGAATATTTTGAATGAGTTCTTGCAAGTGCGCTGTTTAAGCACCGATATTTTCAGGAAAAAGTCAAATACATTGACGCATAAATAATTACAACAGTCAGCATAATAATAACAATAGTGTTGCATTATGCATGTACTATGCCTAAATATTAGGCAGGGTTTGAAAAATAGTGTACTCGCCTCCAGCGCGTGCACCATGTGTCAAACCCTGCCTCAATTTAGGCATAGTACATGCATAATGCAACACTATATATAATTATTATGCTTCCTGTTTTGTCTCTATATAACCCATACCCTACTATTCTCGCATAGTGGTCTAAGGATTTATATAGCGTAAACATACTATGCCGAAATAATGCACGGCTTTATTTACTGAATAAAATTCTTCAATGCATACGCCGAGAATCGAACTGAAGACCATGAGATTGTCAGTCCGATGCCTTATCGATTACGCCACAGAGACGATCACTGATTGGTAGAATTTTATTAAATATATAATCTTAATTTATACAATTGACACAAGAAGGAGAAAATAGACAAATATTATTTGAAAACAGTTATATTATTCTAAGGAACCTTAGATTAATGTGTAAAACTATGTTTCAAACTAATTACATACAGATCGTTAGATGAACTGATTTCATAGGGTCATTAAAACGCTTTTTTATATGACGCTTGATTGAAGGATGCAAAAGAAAATTATCAATGAAAATCGACGTCTGCAAACAAATAAGGCTTACTAACATAACAGAAAATAAAGATGTGTTGCTTTGGGACAGAAAATCCCGACTTATTTAGAGAAAATACTAGTAACCAAAATAACTAAGCATGCAAACAATTTTAGCATGAATATTTTGAATGAGTTCTTGCAAGTGCGCTGTTTAAGCACCGATATTTTCAGGAAAAAGTCAAATAGATTGCCGCATAAATAATTACAACAGTCAGCATAATAATAACAATAGTGTTGCATTATGCATGTACTATGCCTAAATACCGAGGCAGGGTTTGACACATGTGCACTCGCCTCCGGCTCGTGCACCATGTGTCAAACCCTGCCTACTATTTAGGCATAGTACATGCATAATGCAACACTATTATATAAATGGACTTTTGAGCTTGAATACACAAGACCCGGCCCGGTCATTCGCACTGCGAAAAAAATTCGATCATTAAAGTTTTTCTTGAAGTAGTATAACTTTCATGTGAAAGATAATTCGTAGATTTAGATAATTTTTAGGATTAGATCATTTTTGTAGATTAAATATTTTTTTTGTAGATCGAATAATTTTTGTAGATTATATTTACGTTTCATTGTAGATATTTTGTAGATTAGATTATTTATTATAATTAGATATAAGAGAACTAACAACTTATAATAAATGTTCTTATTTAAAGCAATCATAATTTTCTGAATTTGTAGTTGCTGTCTCTGCTAAACATTCTTATGTAACTAATAAAAATATAAAGTTTTTCCCTATCATGTTTTCGGCCAATCGTTGTCGGTACCTATCTAAACCAATTAAGTTTAATGAAACAACATGCTCGGCAGGGATATATGGGGAAAGTCTTTAAATTGTGAGAATTATTAAAAAGAATGCTTTTACATTTATGTATTTTTTTTTTCAGAAATAAATACTTGTGGAATGTATGACAAGTTTAACCCCCTTGCCCGCAGTAGCGAATTTTAACGCATGTACCACTTCCTATTTCTAACGCAAAATCACGCATATACCATTTCCCCGCAATCACGCATTTTCACGCACGTTAAAAAGTTCATTAAATATTCAATTCAATGCCAATTTCCTTCTATTTTATACCTGCTAAATTCTCATAAAATAAGAAAAGTTATTTTCTTATTAAAATATTAAGTTTTAATATTATTTAGTACGCTAATCTTTAGAGAAACTTGTATCATGCTATAAAGTGCTTACAGGGAAATGTTACGTCAAATTTCTATAACGGGGACATTGAGTGAATTTTGCATAACAGTTCAGTAAGTTGTAAAGAGTTAAAACTGGCTGAATGATCATAGTTCTTGAGATTGTTTACATCCGTTATAAAGAATATGCCGGTCAAATAACTTTTGATGAAGTAAATTAAGTCTGTTAAAGTAAATTTCATAAGAGAGAGAGAGAGAGAGAGAGAGAGAGAGAGAGAGAGAGAGAGAGTAACTAATAGTAAATAACTTTATTTAAAAAACTTCTATGACGTCACCCATTATTATTAGTCTACGTATTTTTTACCGATTCAACCAGCACTAGTTGGATCTTTAAAGACTGTCCATCAGTTGGATATTCAAAAATCCAACTCATTATCGGTTGGATATTTAAATACCCAACTGAGGTGCATAAAACAATGAACAAAAGAGATAAAACAGTTTTAAGATGTATTTCCAATGCACATGAAAAATAATAATTATTCCAATTTTGCCACACTATTAGAATTAATTTCCAGAGCACATTGAATTACTGTAATTATATACTTCACTTTTAACATGTTTCAAATGCATTTCCAATGCTCACAGAAATAACAATTCCTCCAAATTTTTCACACTTATAGAAATGTTTAAATTTCGGTCTTAAATTTGAAAGCATCACTTTTTGTCACAAAAATACATTTTCACATCACTTCTTATTGCTGAATATATTTTCAGAGTCCGTTATCAGTAAATCCCTTCAGATTATCCGAGATTCATCCCTGTTTCATACTCTTCCTGCGTACTTCCCAAAACAACTTAATTAATTGACAGATCTTTTTTATTGCAGATCTTGATATGATTTTTTTTAAAGCAGGTACCGCACAGCACTGCAAACTTTTTTTTATCTAGTTAGGCACTACTACAAGTATTGTCCGAATGGAACTCCATAAGAATCCAGCACTTTTCCATCATCTTATAATATGTAATGACAAATTGCCAACCTTTTATCAAAATTCTGTAGTTTTCAGCTTTCAGGTCAAAAGTATAACACCATCTGAACCCCTCTAATTTACTTTGAATTTTGTAATATTTTTCGTCTGATTTCATGACTTTTCAGTACATTGGAAAGGGTTGAAATGACATCAGCACCATGTAGTTTTATGCTCACTAGTCCATGAATAAAAGGGGTGTTCGATTAGGCTTTTGTTTTGTGTCAGGGTTGAATATTTAAATGGGCTACTTCCTATTGTGTTACAGCAAAGTTGGATATTTGAATGAGTAAATGTTTCATTTGGGGCCCAAAGTTGGGAATTTTCTAAAGTAAGATAAATAACTCGATAGTGTTGAATAGTTTAGAGAAAACATCCCCTCCTCGGGCCTTCGGCCCTCGGAGAGAATGTTTTCTCTAAACTATTCAACATCATCTCGTTATTTATCCCTTACTGAACAACCGTCGTATATGTGGAACACATTACCTTTTCCAGCCCTGTCCTTTGCAAAATCTTTTGACCGAGGCATTGATGTGTAAAATCAGAATGCATTCATTAACTTACAAACAAATTTTCTTTCAACTCAGAATCTCACGTCTGAAGATCATTATCTATAGATCAATACACAAAGCAGAAAATGTCGTGTTGAAGTAAAATAAAGATCAGAGGTCTGAAGTCATTAAATAAAAAAAGAGTTGGTTAAGTAGAATACCGGTATATTAATAACTACAATCTTAAGATGTTATTTTATTTAAGGTCATAGCTCAAAGTATAAGGTCACTGCGAAGATCGATGAAAATTGTAATGGGTCATATATTATGCAATATAATGAATGCTGTAGAACTTAATGTTGTATTGAATCTATTTAATTGAAAATTGCAAATAGAAGCCCATGAATTCAATATAGATCCAATATAGTATATGGATATTTTATCAACATATAACATGATTTCTGTATCTTACTTTATCTTATTTGAAAATTAAATAGTTTGTCTTTGGCTTAATTACTAATTAACTGTTAAAAAAGGAAAAGAAATAATACCTGATATAAAATCAAAGTACTAAAAGTACTGATCGGAGTTGAGTTTAATGACGCTTTCAATAAAATTTAATGTTTTTAACCTTGATCACAGCTTTTCAAATTATGTACAACATTATTGCTTCAATAATTTGGTATGACTTAGAATATGTCACTATTTAACAGAGTCAGAAATGTAATGT